AAAACACTATGTAGTAAAAAGATCGTGAGATGTGAGGTCGTCATTTCAATATGCCTGTAAAAATTCTTACCAAAGATTTAACTTTAAAGCATTGCCAGTTGCTCCAGATTTCTCGGCTGCTTCATCCACACGTCGTAATTCCAAAATGACTGAAAAAAGTTCCAGTGTGTGCCTGTCTATGATAAGAGTTGGCCTCACACCACATTACTACTGTGTTGCTCGCTCAATCGATCTTGACGGAAGTGCGTGCTAGAAGCATACAACCGATAGCTGAAAAGACTAGTATGCAACTACACTGTTTACACATAACCAGTCGATAAAAAAGAACTGTTTCATCAACTCGGTTTCTACACTGCTGGAGAATCCTTTCAGCATGTCACTTCGGCTGCCGAATTGTCCAACAACTCTGGTTCAAGTGCACCATTCACACAAGTGAGGTCGATTGCTACACGGTGCCGAAGTTGAGCACATATGGGAATCTGATTAGTTCTCATGAGAGTAAAAAGCGTAGCGGTTTCCCTTTCCAAGCCGCGTTTTAGCACCACAATGAGTGGATGTGCCAGCTGACGTGGAACGAGTTTTAGTCAAAGCTTTCACTCGGATTTTAATTGTAAGAAAGCAGTGTTTTCTTCTCGGAACGTTTTCAGGAGAAAACGGCTTTGCGAAATACATCCACTTGCAAAATAACTTGGTTGTAAATGGAGATATGCTTCAACTGAATGTGTTGTCGCCTCACGTTTCATTTGGTAAGATATTCGGGATGACAGTGTAGTTTCCTGATGGAATACCACCCATTAGGTTACTGAAACCAGTTCGACAACGAAGGCCAGATTCGCACTTCTTAGGGCCCATCATTTGACCGCAGTCCCAGAGTTTCCATCACCCTTATGTTACACTCTCAGCTGAGATCCTCCCTTTAGAACAAAATAAGTTTGCCATTGATTGTATTGAGTGTACTGAGCGTAAAATTTGGGGTCAAGTAGGACACAACATTGACGAAAACTCGGGGAATGCGTCTTCCCGATAAGTCTAAAAAGCGAAACCGGCCTCGGAATGTTGTGCAAGTGTTAGCAACCTTATGAGTAGTGCTCAACCAAGGAGTGATGTTTCTATAAAGAGAGCATGTCCATAACAAAAGTTTATTCAACCATGAAAACAGACCTAATAGGATTTATTGGGTTGGAAAACGAGGTCGGAATCTATCGATTTATTCGTACCAGGATGACGAGATACATAGGTGATTTAACCAGTCACACGGTGGTTTTAATTTTCGTCGTTACTTCCACCAGTCCATTCACTGCTCGTTCTTTCCTACGCACCGTAAGAGAAGTCCGGAAATTGGTCGG